ATTTTTTTTGCACAGTTAATATAAAAATATTAACGTTGTCTTTCACTATTTCGAATGGTGTCAAAAATATTGCAGCAAATAGAAATCTACCTATGTTTTGAAAGCATGCATAGGCAACCAAACATACTGTAAATTTAAATCGTACAGTACTACCTCGTATCATTTTCTTATGCAAAAATTAACCAAATTAGTTATCAATTCACTTAAAATTTTACGTTTTTATGATTAAAGCATGCTTTTGTTGAAATTATGTAAATCTAATTGTTGAACTATAAAACTGTAAAGTGCTCAGACATCAGACGCCAAAATTAAATTGTATAGCAACAATTTTGACTATTATGAAGAAAAGACATATACTTGTCCAAAAGGTATAAGGTTATATGACCATCATAAAAGTAGTTGACCGCAAATAAATACTTGGCAATAAATCTTCTTCTAAACATTTCTTGCTCACATTTAACAGGGCTGGCTTTCAAAGCGAGTGGTTATTTCGGAACCCTCAGCGGCTGCAGGTAGTAAAGAAATAGTGGAGTGGTAGATTTTCATATTTAGTGAAAGCCGACCCTGAATGAAACCACAACAGCCGGTCGAGCTGCAGTGGACATGTTATTTACGACCCTAAAACCTTTTCTATTGTAAACAACTTAACTTCCACACAATGGGATGATTTTATGATGGCCATATAACCTTATAGCTCTTGGTCCACTATAAATTATAAGACTGACAAGCCGATTTACCTGATGCAGACTGTATCTCCAAAAGTTATTAATTTTCATATCTCCAGCTCTAAAGACAATGCATATATTATGAAAATTATATCTTCATACTTTATTATTTTGTGATGAATACGGATGGGCATATTTTAATAAATCCGCGCTTTGGGTATAAGCTTGAGGCGACATAAGATATAATTATGTAGAAGTGAGAAATTATAAGTACACCCGATAGCTCAGTTGAAAAAGTACTTTTTCCGTAAACCCTTTTAAAGTTATTTTTCGAATGAAATTATTAACTTACGAAATTGGTCGAAATTGTAAATTCTAACAGATTAAAAACAACCATTTTTAATAAAAATGAAAACTCCAAACTGCGCACAAGTGATTAATAGATATCGTTACATCATAAACTTCTAAGCGCATAATAAATGAAAGATCGGAAAAGACGTCTCCACGCTACAATGAATATTTAATGTTTATTGTTTTTCGCTTTTCCATGAATTGAATTTCATGCATAATTTACACGAAATGCAACAGTCGATTTTAATTAAAGACTGTAAAAGAATGCACACCCCGAGACTTCCTCCTCCTGAAGTGCAAACTTCTAAAAACGTCATTTATCAAAAGATCTACCATGACGAACGCAGTCAAAGAGTGATTTAGTCTCATTATAATAACTTTACGTTTTGTTGGTTTGTACCCAGACAAAAATACATCTTCGATGAAAAAAATCTGGACATACACTGTGTATTTTCTTGATGTGTTACTAACAGTATTCACAATGGTAAATTTTTTGGGTGAGCGCAACATAGACACGATGGTAATGAACCAAATGGTGATATTTTTAATCGAAGCCCCGTGTAGTTGTTTCAAAATTTTACCTTTTTTAACCAATGCCCGCAAAATCAAACACTGTATCAGTTATTTTGGACAACGCAGATTTGAACCACAACATTCTCAAGCTAAACGCATTATGGATGAGTGTACCCGAGTCTGCAGACGAAACGTCAGAATCTTCTTCAGTGTTATCGGAGTTACTATGTTTTTCTGGAGCGTGTTTCCTCTAGTAAAAGAGAAGTACACGCTTCCGGTTGCAGTTTTCATTCCGACTTATCTTTTTGTTGTAGCAGGTGTTGGACGTAAAGGCTTTGAAAACACCTTTTTTCGCGGCGATTTTACAATTCCAAAAAAAAAATATTAAAACTTGGATCGAAGCTAACAAACGCATCAAAAGATCACCTACCTTGTTTCGTTCAGCCTCCTGGGTTGAGGGTTTGTAGACCGCATGCACAAAGGAACCACGTGTCTAAGTTTCGCGACAACACGTCGCGATTGACGTCACACAAGATGGCAAGTGCGTTCACTTAACGCCACCTTAGCGATGTTACCTCTCTGAGGGTTTCTCGATAACTCTGTTCGATAACAGCGCCAACCCCAAGTACTGGGCCTTTTTGCTCTAAAGTCCCTAGATAACCAACTATCTATCTAGTGACTTTATTTTGCTCGGTACTATGGCGCCTCTAATGGAAAGTGACCAAAATCAGAGATTTCTTAGTAAGTCGACGACGGCACCCGAACTAGCTTGAATCTTTCTGTGTACGCTGTGACTAAAATTCACTTCTCCCCTCGAAAATGTTTACGTCCCTCAGAATTCACTGATTTCACAGTTCGAGAAACGAATGAATGGCTTGAGTAAAACCTGCTCTTAAGCTCTCAACATTGTGCATGCAAATAAATACAATACGATTCTCTATTTATGTTAGAAACGTTCGTGGCAACAAAAACTTTTGACAATAAGAAAATTGTATTATGTCATTTTTCAAGAGTTTCGCCGGTGTGAATGATAAAGAAAAAGTACGAAAAAAGAGAAGTCGACAGTCAAATTTATTCCAACGATCTTGTCCGTGTAATATTTTAATATTAACATTACAAATCATTTTGGAGATTCCTTAGAAACTTTTCGTTTGCCACTTGTTAAAAAACTCGAGTTATGATTCTCTTTTATACCATTTTAAATCAGTGCGCCAAATTATCAACCAATGTTAACAGTCGCTAGAATTAGACGAAGATAACACTAGTGTGTAGTGCACACTACAACGAGTAAGAGAAAGACAGAGAACTGAAAGTATGTCGACACTATTTTCATACATGTTGTTCCACACTTTGCTGCCCCTAGCCGTATCTAGGTTACTAAGAAATCTCTGACCAAAATACATTTGTCAGCATTCCGCGGGAAAACAACTTGTCGATGTTTTAATTTTTCTTTTTTAAAATTTTTCAATTTTTTTTATTTCTCGATTTATCGAATTCAGATGTTTGGACGTTTTGATTGTTCGATTTCTCAATTTATCAATTTCTCAATTTTTTTCTATTTCTCGATGTTTCGATTTTTGGATTTCTCGGTTTTTCGATTTTCCAATTTCTCGATGTTTCGATTTCTCAGTTATCCGATTTTTCACTTTTCCTAAATTTTGGAGTTTCGATTTGTCGATTTTTCAGTTTTTCGATTTTTAAGTTCTAGATTTTCGAATTTTTCTTTTTTGATTCTTCATTCAATGTTTTAAATTTTAGATTTTTCGATTTCTGAATTTTTTGATTTTCCAGTTCTTTAATATTTCTATTTTCCGATTTTTCAGATTTTGACGTTGCTAAATTTTTAGTTTTCCGATTTCTCAATTAATTTTTTTTTTTTTTATTTTCCCGTTTCTCGAATTCGCAGTTCCGAATTTTCAGTTCTTCAATTCTTCGATTTTTGGATTTTTCGGCTGGCTAATTTTTTAATTTCTCAATTTTGGATATTTGTTTCAGTTTTGGGATTTTTCAATTTCTATATTTTTCGACTTTTCGATTTTTAATTTTTTGGATTTCCAGTTTTTCTCTTTTAAACTTTAGATTTTTCAGTTTTCGACTGTATATTTCGATTTCTGAATTGTTTGAGTTTTTAGTTCTTGTACATTTTAATTTTTATTTTTTCCGAATTTTTTATTCTTCAATTTTTTGAGAAGTCGATTTATCGCGATTTCGATGTTTCGATGTTTTGATTGTCTCAGTTTTTGAATTTTTCGATTCTGTACGTTTGTAATTTTTCGACTTTTCGATTTCCCAATTTTTCAATTTTTTAATTACCCAATTTTTGGATGTTTCGTTCAATTTTGTGATTTTTCTCAGTTTTTCGATTCTTCAATTTTTCAATTTTGGGATTTTTCACGTTCTGGATTTTTAGATTTCTCGACTTTTTACTTTTTGGATTTTCAATTTTTCGTTTTTTAAGCTTTCGGTTTTCACAATCTTTCAAATTTTCGATATTTTAAGTTTTCAATTTTTAAAATTTTAGGTTTTTCAATTTCTCGAGTTTTCAGTTCTTCTATATTTGAATTTTTCAATTTTCGAAATTTAAAGTTAATTATAAGTTACTTTTTTAAAAGACACATTAGAAGAACACGAACAAAAACAGTAATAAAAATACACTCCCAAGAATTTAAAAATTTGGCGATTGAATACCTGAATACCTGAAAATCCAAAATGTCTCAGTTTGTTTGGACGAGGTGATCAAACATGTAAATTGTCATTTTTTTCATATCATTTAAATAGGATATCCTGTATGTTAAAACATTCTTGAACTTTTCGTTAAGTAAGCTTTCTTTTAGTACTAAATTTGTTAAGGTAACTCTTAATATTTTTTTCATCTTCGTACTTAAAATGGTTTAAAAATTTAAATTAGATAGGGTTATGCAACTTATATTACAGAGGACGCAGTGGTGTATACTTTTGCTAATTAATAAAACGAGTAACGAGAGGAATTTTTTGGTCGTTATTTTACAGAAATAACTCAAGCTTGATTTTAAACAAGTACTTCACCTATAAAAACTTAAACAATGTCCTAAATATTATGAAACTCATTATTACTATTAAAAGAAACCCTTCTGTATGCAACCAATTATACACACAAGCGAAAAGGAAGTAAAAGTAAATTATGAACGGATTTTGTGTGCATTTTTCTTTCACTGGGTGTCTTTCCAGCGCATACATTTTGATCTTTTGTGTACCATATGGTAATTTGTCATTTCACCAGTCAAACATTTGCTAGTGTGAAATAGGCTTTATATTTCTTATCTAGTTTTTTTTTTGTAACCTGCATAATTCTTCAATAAAAGCGATGTTTTTCGAATTTTGTTGATTTATTAATCACGAATTTCATAATTTAATTTTCCCTGTTTATAGAAAACTGATAAAATTGGCGCCTTTGTCCATAAATCGTGTACCGCAAGATGGAGCCATCGCCGTTATTGATTGGATTAATGTGGTTGATGTGCGCATTATAAAAATCCTTTAAAAATGTTTTCACTGAATGTGCTTTCAAATAACATAAATTAATAATGTAAATAATGACAACGTCAGTTAAGACCGACTCCTGCAGCGAACGCGTCGTTAACAAAACGACAAAGTGCCCCATTTACGTCAAACCCTAACTGTCAATTGTATATAACCTAAAATGACTCCAAATTGACAGATTTTATCCAAATCGCGTCGAAAATGGATCAACCCCAGTATTTCCTTTAACCAGTTTTCACCGTAAGTACCCCTTCGACATCCACTTCGCGCGTACCTAGCCCTCTGTAGGTACAAATCAGTCATGTCGAAGACTTGTCAGTAGACAAGAATGGGGGGCTCAGTGAGTCAAGTGTTCCAGTCAGGAAGTGCACTGCTGTCGAACGGTCACGGCCACAAAGTTTCCGATTCGACGAGACAAAAGGTACAAACTATATTCGATGCTTTTAGAGCAAACCCAAAGATTGGAGTACAAAGATTAGAGGGACTTTTACAACAAATACCAAAAGTAAGTTTCATTTGGCGGCTGGGGACGAAAATGATGTCTTTGTTTTTACATAGAATGAGAATATTTTGGCGATACATGACGAAGCGGGCTACAACCTGCTTCAGAAGTGTGTAGGTGCAAACAATGTGGAGCTAGTGCGGTGGCTGTTGGCTCGACACACCGCTGCTGATGTCAATAGATTTCCTTGTAGTCTTCCGCTTCATATAGCTTGCTTGAAAGGGTACGGCATCACGTTTTAGTTAAATTATTTGATAATTATGTTGTTGTAGACATGATGAATGTGTGGATTTATTGCTGAAACATGGAGCTAAGGTGGATGTGGAGGCGCGGATGTGCTGGCCGGGGGCTCATAGCAGCAACTGTGAGGAGAGGGGAAAGTACTGTGAGTTGGTTTTTCACTGTTTTATTAATATAAAATTAATATAGTGAAAATACCGAGCTACCGCGAGCGAGCGAAGCTCGCAACTCTTTCCTACAACTATGTACTAATTCTCACAAAAGTAATTTTTATTTTAAACAGCACAACAACGTTTAATGTTGCGTTAATTATCTGATAAATAATAAATATGTCCACTAGTAAATAATCAACAGACATTAAATACTAGAATTTCAACGTCTATCTTATTTAAAATATATAATTTATGATGTTACAATCATGTGTCGTTAATGTATTCAAAGATACATCTGCTGACGTCTATCGTGGTAAAAATTTAAATTAAAAGTTTATGGATTGTAAACATGATGATTAGTTTAACATTTTTTCTGTAATTATATTTATTATTTATACTATATTTTATTTTTTGACGTGAGGAAACGTACCCACCCCGATTGCTATTGTGATGAATTTTTCATTAGTTATCAAAGTGGTGGGAGGAGCTTAATTTCAAAATGGATATTTCTCTACAAAAATTAACCTTCTTGAACACTTTTAAGTATTTTGTAACGAAAAGAAGAACGTATTTTAAGAAAAACTACGTAAAATATAAGCCCCGCCCACCCACCCTATCTCAAATGTGACTTTTTTTTAAATCGTCGTGAGCCAGGGGCGGAGCTTAATTGCAAAATCCTTATTTTTTACAAGAAATTACCATCTGAAACATGTTTTTAAATAATCGTATTGTTTAAAGAAAATTATAATGTATCTAGTAAAAAAGAAAGCCTCACCTATACCCACCCCGATTTCAATTGTGATGAATTTTTCATTAGTTATCAAAGTGGGGGGAGGAGCTTAATTCCAAAATGGATATTTCTCTACAAAAATTAACCTTCTTGAACACGTTTTAAGTATTTTGTAATGAAAAGAAGAACATATATTAAGAAAAACAACGGAAAATATAAGCATTCTTTTTTTTTTCGATTTTACGTTTCTCGACTTTTAGATTTTGAATGTTTCAATTTTTCGATTTTTCAATTTTCGGATCAAAAAAATGGAAAATTTGCAAATCGAAAAATTGAAGAAACGAAAAATTGAAAAATTTGGATGATGAGGAATTGAAAAATTGAAACTAATTTTTCGATTAGCAGTTTCAGTTTTCAATTTTTATTTTTTTCTATTTTTCGTTTTTTCAGTTTTCTGATTTTATAATTTTTCTTTTTATATTGTGAATTTTTTCTATTTTTGGGTTTTTCAACTTTTACTTTTTTTTTTTGTTTCAATTTTGGATTTTTCAATTTATCGACTTTCCAATTTTTCTAGTTTTCATTTTTAATATGTAATAATTACATTTCCACTTTTTCAGTTTTATTACACAGTTTTCGAATTTTTCTATTTTGTATTTATTGGATTTTTCAGTTTCTCGCTATTTAATTTTTCAATTTCTCGATAATTATTTTTTCAATTTTTCGATCTTCCAATGTTACAGTTTTTCGACTACACAATTTTGACAATTCCATAACATTTCGATTAAACAATTTTTCGGTTTTCCAATTTTTTGATTCGACTCGATTTTTCTTCTTTCCAATTTTATTATTAATTATTAATTTTTATCGGTTTTACGTTTCTCGATTTTCAGCTTTCCAATTTTTCAATTTTTCGTTTCTTCAGATCTTCAATATGCGATTTTTTGTTTTTCCATTTTTTTGATTTTGCCATTTTTCGATTTGCAATTTTTCCTTTCGATTTTATAATTTTCTTTATTTTTTCAATTTTTCGGTTTTTTAATTTTCTGGTTTTATAATTTTCTTTTTCCATTGTGAAATTTTTCAATTTTTGGGTTTTTCAACTTTTACATTTTTTTTTTCAATTTTAGATTTTTCAATTTCTCGACTTTTCAATTTTTCTAGTTTTCATTTTAAATATGTAATAATTCTATATTACCACTTTTTAAAATTATCACTTTTTCAGTTTTATAATACAATTTTCGAATTTTTCAATTTTGCAATTATTGGATTTTTCAGTTTCTCGCTATTTAATTTTTCAATTTCTCGATAATTAATTTTCCAATTTTTCGATCTTCCAATGTTACAGTTTTTTGACTTTTTCAACTATACAATTTTGACGATTTCAAAATTTTTCGATTTACCAGTTTTTCGGTTTTCCAATTTTTCGATTCGACTCGATTTTTCTTCTTTCCAATTTCATTATTAATTCTTAATTTTTTTCGATTTTATGTTTCTCGATTTTCAGAATTCCAATGTTTCAATTTTTTGCGATTTTTCGTTTTTCAATCTTTAGATTTTGCAATTTTTCGATTTGAAGTTTCACCAGTTTTCAATTATTCATTTTTCTATTTTTTTATTTTCCTTATTTTTTCAATTTTTCGGTTTTTTAATTTTCTGATTTTATTATTTTTCTTATTTCATTGTGAAAATTTTCAATTTTTGGATTTTTCAACATTTACTTTTTTTAATTTTTCTTCTTTTCAATTTTTCGTTTCTTCAATTTTTGATTTGCAATTTTTCTATTTTTCATTTTAAAGATGTAATAATTATTATAATTAATTATTGGATTTTTCAAATTCTTGATGTTTGATTTTCCAATTTTTCGATCTTGCAATGTTACTGTTTTGCCGATTCCATAATATTTGGATTTAACAATTTTTCGGTTTTCCAATTTTTCGATTCGACTCGATTTTTCTTCTTTCCAATTTCATTATTAATTCTTAAATTTTTTCGATTTTCTGTTTCTCGATTTTCAGATTTCCAATGTTTCAATCTTCGATTTGCGTTTTTTCGTTTTTCCATTTTTTTGATTTTGCAATTTTTCGATTTGCAGTTTCACGAGTTTTCAATTATTCGTTTTTTCTATTTTTTAATTTTGTTTATTTTTTCAATTTTTCGGTTTTTTAATTTTCTGATTTTATAATTTTTTTATTTCGTTGTAAAATTTTTCAATTTTTGAATTTTTCAACTTTTGCTTTTTTAATTTTTCTTTTCAGTTTTAGATTTTCAGTTTCTCGACTTTTCAATTTTTCGTTTCTTCAATTTTTGATTTCTAAGTTTTCTAGTTTTCATTTTAAAGAAGTAATAATCATTATAATTAATTATTTTATTTTTCTAATTCTTGATGTTTGATTTTCCAATTTTTCGATCTTCCAATGTTACAGTTTTGCCGATTCCATAATATTTGGATTTAACAATTTTTCGGTTTTCCAATTTTTCGATTCGACTCGATTTTTCTTCTTTCCAATTTCATTATTAATTCTTAATTTTTTTCGATTTTATGTTTCTCGATTTTCAGATTTCCAATGTTTCAATTTTTCGTTTATCTTCGATTTGCGATTTTTCGTTTTTCTATTTTTTTGATTTTGCAATTTTTCGATTTGCAGTTTCACGAGTTTTCAATTATTCATTTTTTCAATTTTTTGATTTTCCTTATTTTTTCAATTTTTCGGTTTTTTAATTTTCTGATTTTATTATTTTTCTTATTTCATTGTGAAATTTTTCAATTTTTGGATTTTTCAACTTTTACTTTTTTAAATTTTCTTCTTTTCAATTTTAGATTTTTCAGTTTCTCGACTTTTCAATTTTTCGTTTCTTCAATTTTTGATTTGCAATTTTTCTGGTTTTCATTTTAAATATGGAATCATTATTATAATGAATTATTGGATTTTTCAATTTCTTGATGTTTGATTTCCCAATTTGTCGATCTTCCAATGTTAACAGTTTTTCAACTATACAATTTTGACGATTTCAAAATTTTTCGATTTACCAGTTTTTCGGTTTTCCAATTTTTCGATTCGATTCGATCTTTCTTTCCGATTTCATTATCAATTCTTAATTTTTTTAGATTTTACGTTTCTTGATTTTCAGATTTCCAATGTTTCAATTTTTCATTTCCTCAGATCTTCGATTTGCGATTTTTCGTTTTTCCGTTTTTTTGATTTTGCAATTTTTCGATATGCAATTTTTCCTTCCGCTTTTTTAATTCTCTTTATTTTTTCAATTTTTCGGTTTTTCAATTGTTTGATTTTATAATTTTCTTTTTTCATTGTGAAATTTTTCAATTTTTGGGTTGTTCAACTTTTATATTTTTTTTTTGCAATTTTAGATTTTTCAATTTCTCGACTTTTCAATTTTTCTAGTTTCCATTTTAAATATGTAATAATTACATGTTAACACTTTTTAAAATTATCATTTTTTCAGTTTTATAATACAATTTTCAATTTCTCGCTATTTAATTTTTCAATTCCTCGATAATTAATTTTTTAATTTTTCGATCTTCCAATATTACAGTTTTTCGACTATACAATTTTGGCAGTTCCATAAAATTTCGATTAAACAATTTTTCGGTTTTCCAATTTTTTGATTCGACTCGATTTTTCTTCTTTCCAATTTCATTATTAATTCTTGATTTTTTTCGGTTTTACGTTTCTCGATTTTCAGCTTTCCAATGTTTTAAATTTTCGTTTCTTCAGATCTTCGATTTGCGGTTTTTTGTTTTTCCATTTTTTTGATTTTGCAATTTTTCCTTTCGATTTTTTAATTTTCTTTATTTTTTCAGTTTTTCGGTTTTTCAATTTTCTGATTTTATAACTTTCTTTTTCCGTTGTGAAATTTTTCAATTTTTGGGTTTTTCAAGTTTTACATTTTTTTTTTTCAATTTTAGATTGTTCAATTTCTCGACTTTTCAATTTTTCTAGTTTTCATTTTAAATATGTAATAATCACATGTTATCACTTTCTAAAATTATCACATTTTCAGTTTTATAATACAATTTTCGAATTTTTCTATTTTGCAATTGGATTTTTCAATTTCTCGCTATTTAATTTTTCAATTCCTCGATAATTAATTTTTCAATTTTTCGATCTTCCAATCTTACAGTTTTTCGACTACACAATTTTGACAATTCCATAACATTTCGATTAAACAATTTTTCGGTTTTCCAATTTTTTGATTCGACTCGATTTTTCTTCTTTCCAATTTCATTATTAATTCTTAATTTTTTTCAGTTTTACGTTTCTCGATTTTCAGATTTCCAATGTTTCAATTTTTCGTTTCTTCAGATCTTCGATTTGCGATTTTTTGTTTTTCCTTTTTTTTGATTTTGCAGTTTTTCGAATTGCAATTTTTCCGTTCGGTTTTTTAATTTTCTTTATTTTTTCAATTTTTCGGTTTTTCAATTTTCTGATTTTATAATTTTCTTTTTCCATTGTAGATTTTTCAATTTCTAAACTTTTTAATTTTTCTAGTTTTCATTTTAAAAATGTAATAATTACATATTATCACTTTTTAAAATTATCACTTTTTCAATTTTATAATACAATTTTCGAATTTTTCTATTTTGCAATTATTGGATTTTTCAATTTCTGGCTATTTAATTTTTCAATTTCTCGATAATTAATTTTTCAATTTTTCGATCTTCCAATGTTACAGTTTTTCGGCTACAGAATTTTGGCAATTCCATAAAATTTCGATTAAACAATTTTTCGGTTTTCCAATTTTTTGATTCAACTCGATTTTTCTTCTTTCCAATTTCATTATTAATTCTTAATTTTTTTCAGTTTTACGTTTCTCGATTTTCAGATTTACAATGTTTCAATTTTTCGTTTCTTCAGATCTTCGATTTGCGATTTTTTGTTATTCCATTTTTTTGATTTTGCAATTTTTCAATTGGCAATTTTTCCCTTCGGTTTTTTAATTTTCTTTATTTTTTCAATTTTTGGGGTTTTCAATTTTCTGATTTTATAATTTTCTTTTTCCATTGTGAAATTTTTCAATTTTTGGGTTGTTCAACTTTTACATTTTTTTTGCAATTTTAGATTTTTCAATTTCTCGACTTTTCAATTTTTCTAGTTTTCATTTTAAATATGTAATAATTACATGTTATAATTTTTTTAAATTATCACTTTTTCAGCTTGATAATACAATTTTCGAATTTTTCTATTTTGCAATTATTGGATTTTTCAATTTCTCGCTATTTAATTTTTCAATTTCTCGATAATTAATTTTTTAATTTTTCAATCTTCCAATGTTACAGTTTTTCGACTACACAATTTTGGCAATTCCATAATATTTCGATTAAACAGTTTTTCGGTTTTCCAATTTTTTTATTCGATTCGATTTTTCTTCTTTCCAATTTCATTATTAATTCTTAATTTTTTTCGGTTTTACGTTTCTCGATTTTCAGCTTTCCAATGTTTCAATTTTTCGTTTCTTCAGGTCTACGATTTGCGATTTTTTGTTTTTTTGTTTTTTTGATTTTGCAATTTTTCGATTTGCAATTTTTCCTTTCGGTTTTTTAATTTTCTTTATTTTTTCAATTTTTGGGTTTTTCAATTGTCTGATTTTATAATTTTCTTTTTCCATTGTGAAATTTTTCAATTTTTGGGTTGTTCAACTTTTACTTTTTTTAATTTTTCGTTTTTCAATTTTAGATTTTTCAGTTTCTCGACTTTTCAACTTTTCGTTTCTTCAATTTTTGATTTGCAATTATTGTAGTTTTCATTTTAAATATGGAATAATTATTATAATGAATTATTGGATTTTTCAATTTCTTGATATTTGATTTTCCAATTTTTCGATCTTCTAATCTTACAGTTTTTCAACTATACAGTTTTGACGATTCCAAAATTTTGCGATTTATAAGTTTTTCGGTTTTCCAATTTTTCGATTCGACTCGGTTTTTCTTTCCAATTTCATTATCAGTTCTTAATTTTTTTAGATTTTACGTTTCTTGATTTTCAGATTTCTAATGTTTCAATTTTTCATTTCCTCAGATCTTCGATGTGCGATTTTTCGTTTTTCCGTTTTTTTGATTTTGCAATTTTTCGATTTGCAATTTTTCCTTCGGCTTTTTTAATTCTCTTTATTTTTTCAATTTTTAGGTTTTTTAATTTTCTTATTTTATAATTTTTCTTATTTCATTGTGAAATTTTTCAATTTTTGGATTTTTCAACTTTTACTTTTTTTAATTTTTCTTCTTTTCAATTTTAGATTTTTCAGTTTCTCGACTTTTCAATTTTTCGTTTCTTCAATTTTTGATTTGAAATTTTTCTAGTTTTCATTTTAAAGATGTAATAATTATTATAATTAATTATTGGATTTTTCAAATTCTTGATGTTTGATTTTCCAATTTTTCGATCTTGCAATGTTGCTGTTTTGCCGATTCCATAATATTTGAATTTTACAATTTTTCGGTTTTCCAATTTTTCGATTTGACTCGATTTTTCTTCTTTCCAATTTCATTATTAATTCTTAATTTTGTTCGATTTTATGTTTCTCAATTTTCAGAATTCCAATGTTTCAATTTTTCGTTTATCTTCGATTTGCGATTTTTCGTTTTTCAATTTTTTTGATTTTGCAATTTTTCGATTAGAAGTTTCACGAGTTTTCAATTATTCATTTTTTCTTTTTTTTTAATTTTTCTTAATTTTTCAATTTTTCGGTTTTTAAATTTTTTGATTTTATTATTTTTCTTATTTCATTGTGAAATTTTTCAATTTTTGGATTTTTCAACTTTTACTTTTTTTAATTTTTCTTCTTTTCAATTTTAGATTTTTCAGTTTCTCGACTTTTCAGTTTTTCGTTTCTTCAATTTTTGATTTGCAATTTTTCTAGTTTTCATTTTAAAGATGTAATAATTAGTATAATTAATTATTGGATTTTTCAAATTCTTGATGTTTGATTTTCCAATTTTTCGATCTTCCAGTGTTACAGTTTTGACGATTCCATAATATTTGGATTTAACAATTTTTCGGTTTTCCAATTTTTCGATTCGACTCGATTTTTCTTCTTTCCAATTTCATTATTAATTCTTAATTTTTTTCGATTTTGTTTCTCGATTTTCAGATTTCCAATGTTTCAATTTTTCGTTTATCTTCGATTTGCGATTTTTCGTTTTTCCATTTTTTTGATTTTGCAATTTTTCGATTTGCAGTATCACGAGTTTTCAATTATTTATTTTTTTTAATTTTCTTTATTTTTTCAATTTTTTGGTTTTTTAATTTTCTGATTTTATAATTTTTTTTATTTCATTGTGAAATTTTTCAATTTTTGAATTTTTCAACTTTTACTATTTTTAATTTTTCTTCTTTTCAATTTTAGATTTTTCAGTTTCTCTACTTTTCAATTTTTCGTTTCTTCAATTTTTGATTTGCAATTTTTCTAGTTTTCATTTTAAAGATGTGATAATTATGATAATTAATTATTGGATTTTTCTAATTCTTGATGTTTGATTTTCTAATTTTTCGATCTTCCAATGTTACAGTTTTGCCGATTCCATTATATTTGGATTTAACAATTTTTCGGTTTTCCAATTTTTCGATTCGACTCGATTTTTCTTCTTTCCAATTTCATTATCAATTCTTATTTTTTTTCGATTTTTCGTTTTTCCATTTTTTTTGATTTTGCAATTTTTCCTTTCGGTTTTTTAATTTTCTTAATTTTTTTCAATGTTTCGGTTTTTCAATTTTCTGATTTTATAATTTTCTTTTTCCATTGTGAAATATTTCAATTTTTGGGTTTTTCAACTTTTACATTTCTTTTTTTCAATTTTAGATTGTCCAATTTCTCGACTTTTCAATTTTGCTAGTTTTCATTTTAAATATGTAATAATTACATATTATCACTTTTTAAAATTATCACTTTTTCAGTTTTATAATACGATTTTCGAATTTTTCTATTTTGTAGTTATTGGATTTTTCTATTTCTCGCTATTTAATTTTTCAATTTCGCGATAATAAATTTATCATTTTAAACGTGTTTTAAGTTTCTAAGAATAAAAAAGATCATCACAATTGAGATGGGGTGGGTGGGCGGGGTTTTATATTTTTATGTTTCTTCTTAATATACATAGTATTCTTTGAACAACACGATACTCAAAAACATGTTTGTGATTTCTTGTAAAGAAATAAGTATTTTGCAGTTAAGCTCCTCCCCCTTGGTTCACAGCGAATAAAAAAATTCATCACAATAGAGATAGGGCGGGTGGGCGGGCTTACATTTTGCCTTTGTGTTTTAATATGTGTAGACTTTTTTTCAGGACATGAAACTTAAAACATATTTAAAATGAAAAATTAAGTAATCTCAAAATTTTGCCGGATAAATCCTGTTTAAAATGTGCAAAATATGATCAGTCTATAATTGTAATTTATTATTGCATTTTTTTTTTTTTTTTGGAATTTGCGCCCCCACGGTGCAGGGGCTGCAGGGGTGTTGTGAATAAGCATCGCAAAATCTAATTTTATAATTTTTTTCCAGCGTCAGCCATTCAGCAAGAAGAAGCCTGCATAGAACGCGACAGTCGCGACCGTCCTTCCAGCAAACTTCAATCGGCAATCTATTACGCTTTAGACGGCGACCAAGTCACCATTCTCACCACGCTGGCGCAACGAAGCGAGGATCCATGGGTGAGTTCCCAAATCTAGCTTTTCCCGTACCGTCAATCTAAACCTCTTACCTAGAACGGCATTTTCCGGGCTCGGAAGCCTCTGCTCCACGCGGCATGCGAACGTGGTGCTTGGCGCTGCACTCAATTCTTAGTTACCGAAAGGACTGACGAAATCCATATTCTAAAGGATGAATACTATCCAATACACTACGCTGTACTTCATGATAGCAAGTTTCTAGAACTTTTAATAAGTGCCGGTGCGGACACGACGGTTCGGACGTGCACCCAGCAGATGACGCTGCTGCATGTCGGTGAGTTGATGCGCGATTGTGGCGAGAGAGGGGTCTGATTGTGTTTCGTAGTTCTTCTTGTTGCCCACAAGTCGGCGGAAGACACGGTTTCTACGATTCGGCTGCTCCTGGATCACGGGTGTAAGGAGCTGATAAACACACCTGATAGTTTAGGAAATACACCTTTACATGCGCTTATAGTCAGATACGCTTTAGAGGAGGCCCAGTACGGGTACGACAAGTGGAATAAATGGGACGTGCTGCATTTGGTTAGGTATTTGATACAGAGTGGAGCTCGACAGAGTATTAATCATGCAGGGAATTCGGCCGTCGCGTGCGTTTTGAGGCATGTGAGGGACTGGGATGTTTGCTACGAGTTACTCAATATGTTGCTGCACGAGGGGGGTAAGTACTTTTTTAACTGTTTTTTTTTATTTAACAAAAAAATAAGAATTATTAATATATATATTTCGTTTGATAAAAATATTCACACTAAATTAATGCTTGCTTTATGAATGGCATGAGTAACTAGAGCAGAAATTTAAAAAATCATCCACCATGCACAACTATCGAACGAGAGTAGAATTTTAGCCTCCGTGCATCAGAAAGTAACTTTCGTTTATTTTCTGACAAGATTGGTAAAATTTTGAACTTATTCTACAAATCAGTTTTTTTCTATGGCGATTGAAGCATTTAAAATTTAAAAATCGAGAAACATAAAATCGAAAAAAAAAATTTATCGAAAAATTGGAAAGTCGAGGAACTGAAAATTTTAAAATTGAAAAAACGAAAAATTAAAAAAGTAAAACTTGAAAAACCCAAAAATTGAAAAAATAAAGAAAATTAAGAAATCCAAACGGAAAATGGAAAAAATGAATAATTGAAAAATAGAAAAAAAAAACTGCAAATAGGAAAATTGCAAAATCAAAGAAGTGGAAAATCGAAAAACGTAAAATAAAAAAAAATAATGGAAAAATTGGAAAGAAAATCGAATCGAAAAATTGGAAAACCTAAAAATTGTTTAATCGAAAAATTATAGAACCGTCAAAATTGTATAGTCGAAAAATTGTAACACTGGAACATGGAAAAATAATTATAAAATTAAAAAAGTGAAAATTTTTAAAAATGACATTAATTTTTACATATTTAAAATGAAAACTAGAAAAATTGCAAATCAAAAATTTTAAAAAATGTAATCGTTGAAAAACCCAAAAATTGAAAAATCGAAAAATTGGAAAAATAATGAAAATTAAAAAACCGAAACAAAAAATTAAAAATTGAAAACTCGTGGAACTGCATATCGAAAAATTAAAGTATTTAAAATTTAAAAATGGAGAAACATAAAATCTAAAAAAAAATTAATCGAAAAATTGGAAAGTCGAGAAACAAAATTTTAAAATTGAAAAAACGAAAAATTAAAAAAAGTAAAACTTGAAAAACCCAAAAATTCAAACAATAAAGAAAATTAAAAAACCCAAACGAAAAATGGAAGAAATGGATAATTGAAAAATAGAAAAAATTAAAAACTGCAAATAGGAAAATTGCAAAATCAAAGAAGTGGAAAATCGAAAAATCGCAAATCGAGGAATTGAGAAACAAAATTTAAAAATCGAATCGAAAAATTGGATAACCTAAAAATTGTTAAATCGAAAAATTATAGAACCGTCAAAATTGTATAGTCGAAAAACTGTAACACTGGAACATGGAAAAATTATTATAAAATTGAAAAAGTGAAAATTTTTAAAACTGATATTAATTTTTACATATTTAAAATGAAAACTAGAAAAATTGCAAATCAAAAATTGAAGAAACGAAAAATTGAAAAGTCCAGAAATTGAAAAAATCAAAAATTAAAAAAAAAATGTAAACGTTGAAAAACCCAAAAATTGAAAAACCGAAAATTTGGAACAATAATGAAAATTAAAAAACCGAAACAAAAAATTAAAAATTGAAAACTCGTGAAACTGCATATCGAAAAATTGGAAAGTTGAGAAACTGAATATTTTAAAATTGAAAAAACGAAAAATTAAAAAAAGTATAACTTGAAAAACCCAAAAATTGAAAAAATAAAGAAAATTAAAAACTGCAAATAGGAAAATTGCAAAATCAAAGAAGTGGAAAATCGAAAAATCGCAAATCGAGGAATTGAAGAAACAAAATTTAAAAATCGAAAAACGTAAAATCAAAAAAAAAATAATGGAAAAATTGGAAAGAAAATTCAAATCGAAAAATTGGAAGACCTAAAAATTGTTAAATTGAAATATTATAGAACCGTCAAAATTGTATAGTCGAAAAACTGTAACACTGGAACATGGAAAAATTATTATAAAATTGAAAAAGTGATTTTTTTTAAATGATATTAATTTTTGCAAATCAAAAATCGAAGAAACGAAAAATTGAAAAGTCCAGAAATTGAAAAAAATAAAAAATTTAAAAAAATGTAGACGTTGAAAAACCGAAAATTTGGAAAAATAATGAAAATTAAAAAACCGAAACAAAAAATTAAAAATTGAAAACTCGTAAAACTGCGTATCGAAAAATTGAAGCATTTAAAATTTAAAAATCCAGAAACATAAAATCGAAAAAAAAATTAATCGAAAAATTTAAAAGTCGAGAAACTGAAAATTAAAAAAAGTAAAACTTGAAAAACCCAAAAATTGAAACAATAAAGAAAATTAAAAAACCCAAACGAAAAATGGAAGAAATGGATAATTGAAAAATAGAAAAAATTAAAAACTGCAAATAGGAAAATTGCAAAATCAAAGAAGTGGAAAATCGAAAAATCGCAAATCGAGGAATTGAAGAAACAAAATTTAAAAATCGAAAAACGTAAAATCAAAAAAAAAAATAATGGAAAAATTAGAAAACCTAAAAATTGTTAAATCGAAAAATTATAGAACCGTCAAAATTGTATAGTCGAAAAACTGGAACATGGAAAAATTATTATAAAATTGAAAAAGTGAAAATTTTTAAAACTGATATTAATTTTTACATATTTAAAATGAAAACTAGAAAAATTGCAAATTAAAAATTGAAGAAATGAAAAATTGAAAAGTCCAGAAATTGAAAAAATCACTAATTTTAAAAAATGTAGACGTTGAAAAACCCAAAAATTGAAAAACCGAAAATTTGGAAAAATGAAAATTAAAAAACCGTAACAAAAAATTAAAAATTTAATCGAAAAATTGGAAAGTCGATAAACTGAAAGTTTTAAAATTGAAAAAACGAAAAATTAAAAAAGGTAAAACTTGAAAAACCCAAAAATTAAAAAACCCAAACGAAAAATGGAAGAAATGAATAATTGAAAAATAGAAAAAATTAAAAACTTCAAATAGGAAGATTGAAAAAGTGGAAATTTTGAAAAATCGCAAATCGACGAATTGAAGAAACAAAATTTAAAAATCGAAAAACGTAAAATAAAAAAAAACAATGGAAAAATTGGAAAGAAGAAAAATCGAATCGAAAAATTGGAAAACTTTCTAAAAATTGTTAAATCGAAAAATTATAGATTCGTCAAAATTGTATAGTCCAAAAACCGTAACAATGGAAGATCGAAAAATTGAAAAATTAAATATCGAGAAATTGAAAAATCCAATAGATGGAAAAACTGGAGAAATTGCAAATCAAAAATTTGAAGTCGAAAAACTGAAAAATCTAAAATTGAAAAAACGAAAAATTAAAAAAAAATGTAGTTGAAACATCCAAAAATTGAAAAATTATAAAATCAGAAAATTGGAAAACCAAGAAATTGGAAAAATTAAAAAAAATATAAAGCCCAAAAGAAAAATTGTAAATCGAAAAATTGAAAAATCGAAAAAATTGAAAAATTTTAGAATGAAAAAAAAGAAATTATAAAATCAGAAAATTGAAAATCCAAAAAATTGAAAAATTGCAAAAATTAAAAACTCGTGAAACTGCAAACCAAAAAAGAAATAAATGAATCGAAAAATTGGAAAACTTAAGAAAAAATGGGAAAATTCTAAAATTCCAAAATTGAAAAAGTGAAAAAGTTTTTAAATTACAAATTATTTCAATTGAAAATGAAAACTAGAGAAATTGCAAATTAAAAATTTGAAAAGTCGAAAAACTGAAAAATCTAAAATCGAAAAACCAAAAAATTTAAAAAATGTAACAGTTGAAAAATCCAAAAATTGAAAAATTGTAGAACGAAAAAATAGAAATTATAAAATCTGAAAATTGAAAACTCGTGAAACTGCAAACCGAAAAAAAAAATTAATGAATCGAAAAATTGGAAAGAAGAAAAATCGAGTCGAATTGAAAAATTGGAAAACTTGAAAATTGTTAAATCAAAAAATTATAGAATCGTCAAAATTGTGTATTCGAAAAACTGTAACATTGGAAAATTGAAAAATTAAATATCGAAAAATCCAATGATTGCAAAATGGAAACATTCTAAAATTGCAAAACTGAAAAAGTGAAAAAATGTTTAAATTACAAATAATTATTACAATTGAAAATGAAAACTAGAGAAATTGCAAATCAAAAATTTGAAAAGTCGAAAAATTATAAAATCAGAAAATTGAAAACTCGTGAAGCTGTAAATCGAAAAATTGCAAAATCTAAAGAGTGAAACATACAAAAGTTTAAAATAAAAAAAAAGTGAAAAATCGAAAGAGGGAAGACGAAAAATTGAAAAAGTGAAATTTTTTCAAAATTATAATAAAAATTACATATTTAAAATGAAAACTAGAAAAATTGCAAACCAAAAATTCGAAAAACTGAAAAATCCAAAGTTGAAAAAACGAAACAAAAAAAGTAACAGTTGAAAAATCCGAAAATTTGAAAAAATTAAAAAAATTACAAAAACCGAAACGAAAAAGTGCAAATCGAAAAATTGAAAAATAAAAAAAAATGAAAATTGAAAACTCCTGAAACTGCAAATCGAAAAATTGCAAATTTAAAAAATTGAAACATTGAAAATCTAAAAATAGAGAAGCGTAAAATAAAAAAGAATCAAAAAATTGGAAAGAAGAAAAATCGAATCGAAAAATTGGAAAACCTAAATGGAAAAATTCAAAAATTGGAAAATTGGAAAAGTGAAATTTTTTAAAACTCATAATAACTATTACATATTTAAAGTGAAAACTGGAAAAATTACAAATCAAAAATTTGAAAAGTCGAAAAACTGAAAAATCTAAAATTGAAAAATTTTTAAAATCAAAAATTAAAAACCGAAACTAAAAATTGCAAAATCTAAAAAGGGAAAAATCGAAAAACTGTGTAAAATAAAAAAGCGGAAAAGACGAAAAATTGCAAATTCAAAAAAGTGGAAAATTGGAAAAGTCGCAAATCGAAGAATTGCAGAAACGAAAAATTATAAAGAAGAAAAATCGAAACAAAAAAATGGAAAATTTTAAAAATGTTAATCGAAAAATTATAGAATCATGAAAATTGTGTAGTCGCAAAATTGTAACATTAGAAGAAAATTGAAAAATTAAATATCGAGAAATTGAAAAATTCAATACATAATTGAAAAATGGAAAAATCCTAAAATTGGAAATATGAAAAAGTGACCAATTTTAAAAATTATAATAATTATGAAATACTTAAAATGAAAACTATAAAAATTGTAAATCAAAAATTGAAGAAACGAAAAATTGGAAAGTCGAGAAACTGAAGTCTGTAATTGAAAAATTTCACAATGAAAAAAAGAAGTTATAAAATCAGAAAATTGATATAAAATCAGAAAATTGAAAAACCGAAAAATTGAAAAAATAAAATTAAAAATTGAAAATTCGTGAAACTGCAAATCGAAAAATTGCAAAACAAAAAAGTGGAAAATCGAAAAATTGCAAATCGAAGAACTCAAGAAAGAAACAGTGAAAATCCAATTATTGAGAAAAGAAAAATCGAAAAAAAATTGATCAATCAAAAAATTAAACATCGAGAAATTGAAAAATCTAATAATTGCAAAAGGGAAGAATTCTAAAACTGTAAAATTGAAAAAGTGAAAACATTTTAAAATTATAATATGTAATTATTACATAATTAAAATGAAAATGAAACATGTCCACCATAGACTAACGTCTGTTGGAATAAACGTATTATTATTATTATTATTAATTGAAAACTAGAAAAATTGCAAATCAAAAATTGAAGAAACGAAAAATTAAGAAAAAGTAACAGTTAAAAATAAATAAAAAAATTGCAATAAAAAAAGTGGGAAGTCGAAAAATGGAGAAACGTAATATCTAAAAAATTAATGAATCGAAAAATTGGAAAGAAGAAAAATCGAATCGAAAAATTGGAAATCTAAAAATTGTTAAATCGAAAAATTATAGAATCGTTAAAATTGTAAATTCGAAAAACCGTAACATATAATAACCATGGAGAAATTTAAAAATACAATAATTGCCAAATGGAGAAAATCAAAAATTGGAAAAATGGAATTTTTTTAAAATTATAATCATATTTAAAATGAAAACCCGAAATCTTGCAAATCAAAAACTGAAGAAACGAAAAATTTCAGAAAATTGTAAAACCAAAAAATTCAAAAAATAAAGAAAATTAAAAAACCGAAACGAAAAATTGAAAAATCGAAAAAATTAAAAATTGAAAACTCGTGAAAGTGCAAAACGAAAAATTGTAAAATCAAAAAAATGGAAAATCGAAAAATCGCAAATCAAAGAACTGAAGAAACGAAAAATTGAGAGATGAAAAAATGTAAAAATCAGGAAACGTAAAATCGAAAAAAAAAAGAATGGAAAAATTGGAAAGAAGAAATATCGAATCGAATCGAAAAATTAGAAAACCCAAAAATTGTATAGTCGAAAAACTGTAACATTGAAAGATCGAAAAAATGAAAAATTAAATATCGAGAAATCGTAAAACCTAATAATTACAAAAGGGAAAAATTGAAAAAATTTTAAAATTTCAATAACTTTTACATATTTAAAATGAAAACTAGAAAAATTCCTAATCAAAAATTGAATAAATGAAAAATTAAAAAGTTGAGAAACTGAAAAATCTGAACTTAAAATCGAAAAAAATAATAAATCGAAAAATTGGAGAGAAAAAACATCGAATCGAATAAAAAAATTGGAAAACCTAAAAATTGGAAAACCTAAAAATTTTTAAATCGTCAAAACTGTATAGTCGAAAAAGTGTAACATTGCAAGATCGAAAAATTGAAAAATTAATTATACGAGAATTTGAAAAATGCAATAATTGCAAAATTGAAACATTCTAAAATTGTTAAATGAAGAAAAAATTTAAAAATGATAATAATTATAACACATTTAAAATGAAATCTCGAAAAATTGCAATTCAAATTGAAAAATTTCACACAAAAAATATATAAAATCTCAAAATTGAAAAAATAAAGGAAATTAAAAAACCGAAACGGAAAATAAATATAAAATAAATAAATAAAATAAAACGAAAAATTGCAAAATCTAAAAAGTCAAACATCCAAAAGTTGGAAAATCGAAAAACTGAAGAAACAAAAAGATGAAAAATTGAACAACTGAGAATTTCAAGACAAAATAATTGGTTTTTACTTTATAAAGGTAATCAGGAACCAAAATCAGAACAAAATATATAATTTTACACATTTTTCAATCGTCAATATTCGTGAGTTTATTCAAGTGCCTATTGGATCAGGTCGACTACAAAAATATTACTTCCCATCTAAAATCTATCCGTAATAAATTTATTAAATGCACATTCATTTTGTCAAAAAAAATCTACTGAATGCTTTAAAATATTATCTCGAAAAGTTCTCGTTTCGAATCAAAATTTTCTCTAATCACGCCAGAAAATGTTGGTCCTTGTTCATTTTATTTAAGTGTGTATGAGTTTATGAAAACCTGCAGAGAGGAGGCGGAGAAGTGTAGATAGTAGTTGAAAATGACTAGTTCATCGAACTGTTTTCAGACAAACTTACTAAATCTACAATTTTTGCTACAGGCGACCCAAACATGGTGGGCAGGGACGGTTCAGTGCCTTTAATGGTCTGCTTAGTTCCCCTAATAAACAAAGACCCGCTCCACCACTTCACCCACAGCATGAAGGTACTCCCATTTTTCGTAATAAACGCACCTCACCAACCATAATCCCACAGGTTTGTTACTTAAACTGCATCCGAATTTTGCTGAAAGAGGGCGCTAATCCGAACTGCAGCTACCGAGCGAACTTAACTCCCCTCCACGTGTTGGTCTTCACCGTTTCGGAAAACATAACTCTGAACTGCGACGTTCAGAAGGAGCTCAACTTCGAGTTTATAAAAAATTTGCTAGTCCTGCTGCTGACACACGGGCTGGATCCGAACGTCAGAGTGAGCAATAGGACCCAGCATATCCTGCAGTCGTGTATGGACATGATCCAGAATGTTCGTGATTGCAAGGACATCCACTACGTTTATGATCTTACGCTTACTTTGGTGAGTGAAACTAGAGTTTGTGACTGATCGTCAATGTTTTACTTTCTCTAGGTACAATACGGGGCGAATCCCGACCTGAGCTTGAACATGTCTGAAGCAATAAAGAACCATCCGTTGCACCTCCAGTCCATTTGGAAAACCAAGAACTACATCCTCTACTACTATATAATGCTGATATCGAGGAAAGAGAATCTCATAATGGACCCCAACATGAGTTTTTCTAAGATCATCATGTTGTTCTACTTGATAATGCAGCACAAGCCGCTATTCGAGTGCTTGAAGATCCTGCACACCCAGCAGTTGAGTTTGGTGCCCGGAAAAATGACTGAACCGTTAACTTGTATCATTAGAGATTTATATAAAAGACCCAGAAGTCTGAAACAGATCTGCCGCGTTAAAATACACAACTGTCTCGGCCGAAGGCCGGGACTATACATTAACAAACTGAATCTGCCCAATCAGCTTAAAGATTATTTGTTGAATTTTGAACCGTAGATCGAGGTACGTTGAAGACGTTCAGGATTTCTTCTAATATCTGTAAGTGAAAAATACGATTCGCCGGCCATTTGCGCGTTTTTATTCGTTTATTCAAACTGATGAGTTGAGCGTGGGAAATCCGCAGCATCTACACGGTTATGTCGGTGACGATGATAGGTGCTGATGGATTTTTTTCATGTGCGGTTGCGGTCTATTTTGATGGAGTTATTGTCAAACAATCCTCTATAGAAGTTTTATTTTAATTTTTGACACCAGTGTTGGAATTTATAGCCCGTTTCTAGTCCGTTTTTAAAGCTTTACGATTTCGAAAATATACAAAAATGTATATAAAAAAAATTTAAGTTGTGTTTACCAAAAAAAATGGTAAAATTTTATTTAATATTTAAATGACGCTTGAAGCGTTTTTTGTTGATGATTTTAAAGAAAGTCTGTTTTACTAAAAGTAGTTTGAAAAAGAAGTCTAGACGAATTCAGTCCATGACAACCACTTCTCTTTTGTTTTTTGAAGAAGGTGCCGATTTGCCCTACGTATTGTCCAATACTCAAGTTTAAGTCAATTAACCGACGCCCCACCGTTTCTTTGAGAGTGCAGTTCCGTTCACAATCCTTGTCGCTCAAATTACGCTTCGTCGTGACCCGAACTGTACCGCCCGTCTGTGATATCGAAAAAAATCTTGAACGTTCTTCAATTGTTGCTAGTTTTTAAGGGAGATAATATACTTGTGATTTCTTGTTAAAATTTCTAAATTTTAGTAATTATAAGTGTCGGAATTCAGTTGAACGGTACATTTGGAGCGACTAAAGCAAGGATGTTGTAGAACTACGACTTATGATATCTTAATACGCTTTTGAGCTGTGTTCGTGTCGAACAGGGTTTTGTGCAGATTAGACAGGTTTCCGAATTTTTACCTTTGATCATCACTCGTTGCCTCCTGAGTTTAACACACAGTTTACCAGAAGCACGGATAAATGTGTTCTTGCAGCGCGTGTCCAAAACGGATTTCTGTTACTACTCGTTTTTCTTTGACAATAAGTAAAGTAAGCTTGGTTTGTCTTAGAAATCTGGCAAAGTCCTATGCTATACAAAATATCAGCTCTGTAAATTTTAATATATATGCCAAATATTATTAAGTAAGAGCTAAGTATAATATATGAATTGTATAGTATATTTTATGTTAAGATTTAAGATTATGTGATTTTATTGTTGGCATATTGGTATCATATTTGGATAAAAAGTATTTAATAAAAAAATGTCTATATTGAGGGAGTTGTTTTATTTTCCTTGCATTGGTGGCAACACTGGACTTTCTCAAGGTGAGTAAGAGATCTGTGTAACTTGGATCACAGTTGTTATCACTAAGGCTCGGATAACATGCAAAATGCAGAAGTACCGACCTTTTCTAGTAATGCGGACAGGTTAGCTCTACTAGGAACCGAGCCCTCCGTCCAAAATCGAAGAAAATCAAAAAAATAAAAATTGCAAAATTGAAATATTTAAATTTATAAAAAATTGATAAATCGAAAAATTGAAAAATAGAAAAACGAGAAATCTAGAAATCGAAAAATCTAAAATTTAGAAAATCGAAAAATCAAAATATAAAAACTGAAGAATGGAAAAATTGGGAAATCCCAAAATTTGAATAGCAAAAAACTGATAAATCGAAAAATCGTACCATCAAGAAATCGAAGAATTAAATTAATCTAGGAAAATTTGAAACATCGGAAACGGAAATTGAAAATCCCAAAACTGAAATGTCGAAAGATTGGAAAATGAAAAAAGTGAAAAACTAAAACACCGAAAAATTGGAAAATCGAAAAAAAAATCCAAGAAATAAAATAATCGAAATATTGAAAAATTTAAATATTGAAACATCCAGGAATCGAAGCAACAAAAAAAGTCGAAAAATCGAGAAATCAAAATAGCCCAAAATAAAAAAGAATGATAAATTCATAAATTGAAAAATCGGAATATCGAGAAATCGAAAAATTAATTTAATCGAAGAAAATTGGAAGAATCCAGAAACTGAAAAATGTCAAAACGGATACACCAAAAATTGAAAAATTGTGAAGTCGGGAAATCGAAACATCGAATAGTCAAAAATCAAAAATTTAAAAACGCCAAAAATTGAAAACTTGAAACAAAATCAGACAATTTATGTGATGGAAACATTAATCAACAAAATATTTACAAAAACGAAAAAACTATAGCCCCTAGAAAACACGTTATTGGCACTAGGCAAGTAAATAAGTACCGATCGTTTCTAGTAATGCGGACGGGTTAGCTCTACTAGGAACCGAGCCCTCCGCTTTCGCCACGCCAAACAGCAAAGAATTCTCATCTGAGATTAAAATTGGACGGCAGACAATTCATATGATGGAAGCATCAATTAAGAAAATATTTACAAGTTAAAAAAAAACTAGCAAAGATTTATAAAAACAAAAAAAAAGATCTGGTGTGAAGTAAAACTTGTGCAGAAAAAAATATTACGTGAGGTTAGGAATTGCAGAGCATGAAAATTTACGTTCAATTTAAATTATAGAGCAAAGACAGTTACTGAGGCTAAAATTGCGAGATAGAGAAAAATCGCATGAGGTGAAAAATTGCAGGCTAACAGAATTACATGAGGTTAATATTTGCCCCACTTTATCAACGGTTCAAACAAAGAATTCACATGATGTTAAATTATACCGCACTTTATCCAAGTGACTGGTTACTTGCAACAATTTGCTTTGTGAGTTTATATCTTGAACTGCCCCCAACTTATTTCAAACGAACACATGATAAATAAACACAAAATGCTTATTAGAAAGAAAATTAAAGAAGTTAAAAAGTGTGCTACAATGCAATACTTAACTAAAAATGTCCATAAACTTTAGTTATACACAACCTGATAAATAAAAGAGTGAGGGGTAAACAAGTGAATTTCCTATCACGTGGTTTATATGAAAAATTTCACGATTGTTAAATTGTATTAGAACCAGGGACAGTTAAAATCATGGACTCATGCAAACTATAAAAAAATGACACTTTCAGATTAGTAAAGATTTTCTTACTTTATTTTTCAAATTCAAATTATTCAAATGGGGTTCCGCAGCGTTGTTTTTTTCCTCAGCGCGAAGTTTGAATTCAAATTGGGACACCACAACAGATTGTATATAATTTCAAAATCTTAATATTGAAGATGTGTGGTTTCAAATGGACGGAGCGCCACCACGTTCTACGTTTTGTTAATATAATTTTTCACTTTTTTGGACTCATGATAACTTGACCTCCTCAGTCACTAGGTTTATCTTCAAATGATTTCTTTCTTTGGGGTTGTTTTTCGTCCAAAGTCTTTGTATTCCAATGATATAACGATACAAATCGGATTCTCGCGACCACCAATGAACCAAGTCCAAGTTCCAGTTTGTTATTAAATTTTCTGTTCTTTAAGCTTGTAGCTGTTATAATAATATTATGTATTATTTTATAAAAAAAAACTGGTCATAACGAGAAAATCAGGTTCTCATAGATGAATGAAAAATGGGAAAGAAACGGTTATGTCACCCTCATTTGAAGAGTTTTTTTTTTATAAAATAATACAATAACTTAAAAGATATCAAATGTCAATGAAAATCTCATTGGCATAACATAACTCGAAAACTCAAGTCAATTCGTTACCACAGCCATTATCATTGGATAGTAGACATGCAACCAACTTTACACCAAAGTTATAACTATGTATGTACATATTTTTCTAGAACAAACATATATTAATTAAAATTTTACAATTAAGGAGTGCAAACTAAACACAAATTTTATTTAAAAAATAAATAAATTGTACGTAAATCATAAATGGCATCATTACTTAATTATTAATTACTTGTAGTAACGACTCGTAAGCCCAAGCCATGTATAGTTCTGTCAAATAATGTTTATTACGCTCCAGCCTGTTTTTTTCTTTTCTAACTGATCTGGCCCTATTTTCAGTGTCGCTTCGTTGGAAAATGTAAACATCTCACTGTTCTGCAGATGATTATTCATAAATAGAAGAGTGATAAACATTATCAGTAGTAGGTATATAAAATGTTGATTCTGGACCAGTGTATTTGGGACTTTAAAAACAGGACAGAATTCTAAAAATTTAGCTGGTTTCTTGAAAATGAACCACCGTAAAGGACCTAAATTCCTGAAAAATCACTAATTTTTATACACCTCAAAAATACCAATTGATTTTTGAAGGATTTTAGGTCTTTTTCGGTTATTTACTTTCGGGAAAAGAGCTAAATTTTATATACTACTATTACCTGACAAAAATTAATACCGTCTTGGTACTCCTATTTGCTCTTACAAAATCAAATCTCATCCTCTAATTCTAAATGAGAGATTAATACCTATTTCCACTGTATAAGAACTCGAGTTCAAAATAAGAATTCGATTCCCATTGTTGTCAACATTTTTTTATTTATAGTTCTCACAAAAAAGTAAATCTTTCAACTCAAATTTTACGTTTTTTCAAAGAAGCGTGATTTGTCAGATTGTACTTCAGGGGCGAGGAAAATTCTCTCGAAATAACCTTTGACAAGCAGTTGTCTAATCAGCCCCACCAACCATGTGACGACGTGTCCAGTATTTACAATAGCAAAATTGTTATTTACAATAGTTACAATAACAGATTTTGAAATTTAACTTTGAAACTGCAAAAACTAAAAGCTCTCGTATTTACACGTTGTAATTTCTAAGAAAAGCTACAACAACATTTTCAAAAATAACATTTCTTTTCCAGAGATTTTTATGCTTAGATATCGTCCATGTTTACGTTATTTTTGTCATAGTTTGGGTAGGTGAAGTTGTGGCTTAAGAAAGTGTCATAATTTTGAAGTCCTCCAGTGTCTTCTTTGAAACAGATGTAAAAGAATTTTGTCCTTCGGTTTATTTTTTGTTTTGAAAATTAAAACAACTTTGACTTTTCTTTCTCTATTTATTAACACAAATATCCAATATAAATTAGATCAGGCAACCATTAAAACAGATGTTACATAGACGAAATTATTTGAGATTTCTGATAAAACCTATAACCTTCTCATTAGTATATGCTAAATAAGTGAATACGAACGAAATATTTAAATGAATGCTATATTTCATGAGATTTATTACTTTTATAAAAAAAAAATATTTTGCAATGTTACGCCACTGACACGTGTGACACTTCTGGAAGGCGTGGAAAGCAATTAATTATTCCAAATTTTAAAAAGACGAGCTTAAACATGAATTCTGTAGTAGTTTCATTTTAAAAAAATATTTAACAAAAACGACAAAGGCCTGAAATATGAAAAAACTAAAATTTGAAAACTCTTATTTCGGAAATTACAGTTTCCTGCTCGCTAAATTTCCGTCGCACTAGATGTCGCCCCCTCCGCGACGCATGCGCCCTCATTCGCCATTCAATGGTAACCGTATCCATCGCACAGCCCACTACAGTCTGCACAAAATGTTCCTTCTCTCGTTTCGTTTCGCCATATTGGAGGTTGAGTGCGTATGAAATCTGTTCGTTCCCGGTTCTCATGGACAAAATCGTGTCGCAAAGTCCGTTCTTGTGACGTCCCCGCCGCGATTTCCCGTCTGAGTGCATAATTAGTTCGGCAGCTCGCGAAACAAAGTTTGTTTTGTGTGTGAAGTGTTAGCGACAGAAGTAAAATGGCGTGCGCAACTCTGAAACGCTCGTTGGACTGGGAGCCGGTGCTCGGGGGCCGACCGGCCAAGCGGCGGCGCTGCATCCCCTTCTGCGAGAGCCCCACGCACAGGGACAGGGCCTCGCCGCCCTCCTCCCCCGCCGCCGCCTCCGTCTCCTCCCCCAGCAAGCCCAAGTCGGTGTTCCCCGATGTCGTCAGCCAAAAATTGACCCCGGGTGAGTGAGTGGCCGCAGGGCCGGATTGCGGGATTTGCGGTGACGGATGCTGTTTGATGGTATCAGCTGATCGAGATGGGCGCAGGGCCGGTATTGACATTTCGGGATGGGTTAGGGGGAAGGGCCCTAAATTGACACACTTTTTCGCGTTCGAGGCGGCGATTAGCGTGTTTGTTTTGACGTCGGGTTTGGTGGAAAATTTGCGGAGGATGGGGGGGCGAGGATGATAATTTGATATGTGTGGTTGATTTCATGATGGAATCTAATTATACAGGGTGTTTCATCCACGTCCTAAACCCACGTTTTCATTTATGTTGGTAAAATTTAGCACTTCGAAGCGAATATACTTTATCTAATTAATAATATTACAATGATACTAAATATAGCGGATGTTGAAAGATTTATATTTACGTTTTAAAAATATCATAGAGATAATCTTTCGGCATTCTTGGCAATCATTACTATTCTTGGAAAATTTTAATTACCAACGATCTTTGTTAATAGTAACAAATAACGTTACGATTTTTGCCTGCCATATTTAGAACGCTTGGTAGATGTTTCGGTTGAACTTTTTAACCCAAAAATTAATTAGTTCAAGCCTTTAATTCGTATATTATAATTGACGTTTAAAATGATAAAATGCTTATATATAATAGGGTATTCTCAAAATTTCAGGAAAATTAGGAAAGCCATTTTTGATTTAATTTGATTTAATCAATAAAAGAAATTGTCATCTTGTATAAGCAGTTATAAAAAATACAAATGCAGCGATAAACCACAAGTGCAGACTGATAATATTTTGCACATTTAGCAAAATTGTAAGATGGCGTCATCAAGTTTTTGGAAGGGATGAACACATAAATTGTGATTAGCGATGCGTTTAAACGTTTGCAATATTTTGGAGCATTCGTTTTGTACTTTCTAAGTTAAATTGTAAATATTGTATCTTTTTTTTCGAAATTCTGGACATCCAAAGTAAAGAATAACGACGAATTCATAGACCACAACTATAGAAGTATGTTAGTTAGAAACGGTAAAACTATCAACGACATTTCTGTGAACGATACATTATTGAACTAGAAATTTAACGAATTAAATAGACAATCTAGTTGCATTTGAACTTTGTTATTGTCAGTTCGATGGTATAAATGTAAATTATTGCGGTTCGACACTATCTGTTGGCAAAATATTCAATGACGTCAAAATGTCGGCATAGCAACGGATATGAGCAATTTTCTATTGGAAAATAGAACTTTTTTTCTTCTTCGTGTTTTTCTTAACAGTTTAATTAAACTTATTTAATCAATGTATATCAGGTATTTTTAAGTAAAAAACTGTTACCATATTAACCGTTTATGGGTTTTTAGAAGAATGGATTTGCATCAGTGCAAAATCGGGTCCTCGAATCTTTTGATATCCCACAAAAAAACAAGGGTACAAAAATAGAGGTGACGTCATTAACTTTTTTCAAGTGATTGATAAACACGTTTTAAAAGTCTTCGTTTCCACTGAAACCGGAAGCGTTAGCGTAGTAGAGATTTTTTTTGTGGAATCTATTTTTCATATTCGGTGATTTAATCGTCCACTGGATATAGAATATTATTTTGTGTAAAAATCCGGAAGTTTGCGTCGCTTTATTGAACATGAAAAAATTTACAAACCACAAAATTTAACAGATTTAATAACCCAGACATGAGATATTGAAATCTCGTTTTGGAATAAATGTTTTTAGGTAGTTTACGCTTTAATTTATGTATCTAGGTTTCCAAAAATTGGAAAATCTGGCGTTGCAAAATTAATAAAATGGTGTGTACCGTTTTAAATGGAAAATATTGTTAATTCTTGCTATAAAAATTGAAAATTTGACATTTCAAGTATCAGTTTGTGCTCCAGTTTGCGTTTAATTGGCAGGCCATAAGCAGTGCAATTTATGTGAGAGATTTTATGGTAATGTTGCCAACTCTGTACCCGTCCTCAATTTTCGAAGAATTGCTACTTTCATATTTTCTCGACGTTTTATGACCGACCCCTAGAGTCTGTCTGTCTGTCTGTCTGTCTGTCTGTCTGGCGTCTGTATTATTTTCTATTAGACTCGTAATATTTGAAACTACTGGACCGACTTTTGTCAAATTTTGTGCGTATAATAGGAATATCATGTAGATGGTAAAACGCTCCTCAAAATTTGGCTAATCATCCCCCCCAACAATTTGATGGCGTCATTTCAAAGAATTCTATTTTGAAATGATTTCAATGGTATACAACACTATACTTCCATACTTGTGGTGTATGAATCTGCTTTGACTTTTTTCTCTAAACGTCTAACTTTTCGCAAATAAAATTAACACTTTTTATTATTAAGTTAGATAAATTTTATCCCTCTGCTTTGAGAAGACAAATCGATTGTTCGACTTTTCAACTTTTCGATTTTTTAATCTCTCGATTTTTTTATTTTTGGGAAGATTGAACAAATCTAAAAACTGAAAAAACGAAAATTCGAAAGATCGAAAAATCGAAGGATTGGAATATCGAAAAATTGAAAATTTTTTGAAAAAATAAAAAACTGAGGCAACTAATAATTGAAGATTCGAAAAAAGTAACATATGGGAAAATTGAGGACGAGAAAGAAAAAAATCAAAAAGTCGAAAAATCCAAAAATTGATAAACCGCAGAAGTTAAAATTTGAAAAATCGAAAATTTCAATTCCTCGATTTTTCAATTTTTTGGTTTTTCGAATTTCTGAAAGATTGAAAAGTATAAAAACTGAAAATCGAAAAATTCAGAAAACGTGAAATCTACAAATCAAAAGTTTGAAAATGAGAAATCGAAAAAAGAAAAATCCAAAGATCGATAAAACCGAAAAAACTAAACAAAAAACTGAAAAGTTGAAATATCGAATAATCGAAAAATTAAGATCGAAAAAGAGTCAAAAAATTGAAAATTTGAGAAATTGAAAGATTTAAAAATTGAAAAATAAAAAATTTGTATAATCGAAAAAATAGGAAATGGAAAAAAAGAGACAACAAATAGTTAATTGAACAATCAAAAGTGAAAAATCGATGAATTGAAATTTTGAATAATTCAGAAAGCAATAAATCGAAAATTGAAAAATTGCAAATTTCAATTTCTCGATTTTTTAAATTTTTTAGCTTTGCGGTTTTACAATTTCTGGATTTTTATGTTTTTCAATTTTTCAATCTCGCGACTTAAAATAAAACTGAAAAATCGAAAAAAGCAGAAATTCCAATATCGAGAAGTTGAAAAATCGAAAAATCGAAAAATCTAAAAACTGAAAAATCCAAAATTTGAAAACCAGAAAAATCTAAAAATGGAAAACCGAAAATTCGAAAGATTAGTAAATCGAAAAAGAAAAAAATTGAAAGATTGAATAGTCGAAAAATTGAAAATTTATATAATCAAAAATCGGGGAAATGGAAAAATAACAACCGAGACAACGAATAATTGAATTGAAAAAAGTAAAATATCGAAAATTTGAATAATTGAAACATAGAGAAGTCGAAAAATGAAAAATCGCAAATTTCAATTCCTCGATTTTTCAATTTTTGGGTTTTGGTGTTTTTATATTTGTGAATTTTTGGATTTCTCTATTTTCCAGTGTCTGGATTTTTCGAATTTTTGAAAGATTGAAAAATATAAAAACTGAAAAATTCAAAAATCGTGAAATCTACATCGAAAGTTTGACAAATGAGAAATCGGAAAGTCGAGTAAATTGGAAAATCGAAAAAAGAAAAATTCAAAGATCGATAAAATCAAAAAATTGAAGAATCGAAAAAAGTAAAATGTCGAAAAATTGAAAAACCGAAAATTTGAATAATTGAAAGATAGAGAATCGAAAAATGAAAAATCGCAAATTTCAATTCCTCGATTTTTCAATTTTTAGATTTGGTGTTTTTCAATTTGTGAATTTTTGGATTTCTCTGTTTTCCAGTGTCTGGATTTTTCGAATTTTCGACAGATTGAAAAATACAAAATCTTAAAAATTCAAAAATCGTGAAATCGACAAGTCGAAAGTTTGACAATCGGAAAGTCGAGTAAATTGGAAAATCGAAAAACTGAAAAATCTTAAAATCGAAAAAAGAAAAATCCAAAGATCGATAAAACCGAAAAACTCAAGAATCGAAAAATGACAAGTCTAAAAATTGAGGACGAGAAAGACAAAAATCGAAAAGTCGAAAAATCCAGAAATTGATTAACCGCAAAAGTTAAAATTTGAAAAATCGGGAACTTGAAAAATCGCAAATTTCAATTCTTCGATTTTTCAAATTTGGTGTTTTTCGACTTGTGAATTTTTGGATTTCCCGATTTGTCAATCTCTGGATTTTTCGAATTTTTGAAAAAATGTAAAAACTGAAAAATCGAAAAATTCAGAAATCGTAAAATCTACAAATCGAAAATTTGGCAAATGAGAAATCGGAAACTCGAATAAACTGGAAAATCGAAAAGCTGAAATGTTCAAAAATCGAAAAAAGAAAAATCCAAAGATCGAAAAAACTAAAAATCAAAAAACTGAAAAGTTGAAAGATCGAATAATCGAAAAATTAAGAAATCGATAGATTGAAAAATCCAGGACAAAACAGTCAAAAAATTTAAAATTTCAGAACTCAAAAGATTTAAAAATTAAAAAGCCAAAAATTTGTATAATCGAAAAAATGGGAAATGGAAAAATTAAAAAACCGAGACAAGGAATTGTTACTTAACGATCGAGAAGAGAAAAATCGATAAATTGAAAATTTTAATAATCGAAAAAGCGATAAATCAAAAATTGAAAAATCAGAAAATCCAGAAATTGAAAATTTGCAGATTTCAATTTCTCGATTTTTTCAATTTTTTACTTTTGCGGTTTTACAATTTCAGGATTTTTTTTCCGACTTTTGGAATTTTCAATTTCTCGACTTTAAAAAAAATTGAAAAATCGAAAAATCAAGAAACTGAAATATTGAAAAATTGAAAATTCCAGAAAATGAAAATCTAAAAACTGAAAA